TCCCCGGCAGGAAGCGGTTAATAAATAAACAAGAAAAAGGTGCTTTGACATCTGTTTTTCAAAGGTATCCTTTGATCACCTATGATTTTTAAGTTGGTAGGATGAGAACAACATTTTTAAACATGATCAGGAATTTCAAAGCAACAGTCAAGTATCACTGGTGATACTCAGATCTAATCAAAATTATACAGAAGGCAAAAAAAACCCATTTGGATAAAAGATCCCGAATCCCCTCATACAAACTAGAGGAACGTTTTTCTCTTTACCTTATCTCTGATGTGCATGTTGGTGATGTACTCCTGGGGAACGTGGAAGTCGATATCTTGGGGCCTGCTGGGTGACTCCGCCCACGGCGACTGGAACGTGCCATACAGGTTCCTGAAACCGAGGACAAAAGTAACAAATATCAGAGAAACCAAGGGCCTAACTTCGCCAAACTGCACATGATTCTGAAGAAATGATGCGGAGATGTCACAAATCCAACACAACATGGCTGCAAATAGGTTTTACAAGTATTTGTGCACCCCTCTTCCTCAAAAAAATAAATACGCACGAAGTGCTCTCAAACGTACAGGGTGTGATTTAACAAGACTGTTTAGGTTGTGTCTGAATAACTTGGCTGTGGCTTGAAATTACACACGATTCTATAGGAAGTAGCCGCAGCCGCTGTCGTAGACTCAGGCATAAGTTCAAGCCGTAGCCGGGTAATTTCGGACGTGGCCTTACTCGGGTGAGTTGAGGTTGAGCCCCAGCGTGGTCAGGTCGCTGCCCAATGCTAGCTGGACCAGGTTGGGGTCCGTCTCGGCCGCCCGGATGAAGGTCAGCAAGCCCACGATGCCGAAAGGATCCGTCACGATACCGGGTGGGATGTGCGTGATCTTGCCTGGAAGGAATTGTACAGAAAATTGCATTCATAACAGGCTCTATGGACTACAGTGTCAAAGTCAAATCTCTTCCAAGCTTTTCATGATTTTATTTTCTAGTTATCTAATAAATGTAACCTTTGCTTTTGTGACTATTTTGAGTGAACATTGACAGTACAATGTCATGTCTTAGTTACGGTTTCATATGAATAACTGGTGGCTTTCGGTGACACTACGGTATATGTGAAGTAACTGTGCAAACATGTGGAGTACTAGTAGGAGTACTCAATGACAAAACTGGGGTACTTCACAGTACATGTAGTGAACATACAGAAACTCTGCTCTCCTCTGCTCTTGTATTTTGAGCGATGGAGCGGCACAGCGCCCTCAATCGCCTATGCACAGATCACATTCACCCCACGTCTCCCTTACCATCCGGATGGATCTGGATGCCGCGTTTCTGCTGATTGTCGTTGTTGCTGTTGTTGTTGGCCGTCTTGTCCCCAGGGTACCTGGGGCTCTCTTTCACCACGCCTGTGCTGTTTTGCTCTGCAGCAAAATAAAGTACCACGTGCCGTCAAATTGGCGCAGTGGGAAAAAGTTGCAAAAATGAGAAAGGTCAGAAAACTCAGTCACACGCAAACTTAGCCCACGACATCAACGACGATGGAACATCTCATGACAGGGGTATACTTTCAGTGAATACTGAACAAAATTTAATCAGGTCAAAACAGGAGCTTTAAATTCAACTGTCATGTTAACCTTTTCCCCATGGTAGAGCTTGCTGCATGAACTGACAGAAAATTGTCGTAACTTTTTCCACAACTGCAGCCCCTTCTCCCTTCAAACTAATAACAGCCACATCATAAGACTCTTGAGACTTGTTCAGACACACAAGTGCACGTGATTCACAACTCATTTCCAGTACATATGTTGAACCGTATTACTGCAGATGCGCAAGTCCAATGACAAACGGAGTGGCTCGTGATTTGGACCAGGGGAGTGAAGAGTAAAGGACAGGGCATGACTGAGGACTGGCCCTGGCTCACCTGAGGAGGACTTGCTGATGATGTTGGAGCCCGGCAATGCAGGGAAGTCCTCGCTTTGCATGGTGAACTCTGGTACCGGATCTGCCTGCTTGTTGACCATGCCCACTGAAAATAAAAGAGATCAGATGAGGTGGACGTCTGGCATTATCCCACCATCTGATCAAATAAGGGGCAGGCATTCTCGCTAATGACTCATGTTAAAAAGCAACTCTAAGGAAAACATGTTTTCTCTGATTTTATCTGTTCAAATAAATATGGAAGCATTTAAATCAAATGCAGTGTCATTTGTCTTCAGAGCTCAACTATAACAAACTTAAAAGGGCTTTTTTCTGTTCATGCCAAGATGCGAATTCTGAATTTAGATTGCATCATTTGGAGAAAACAGAGAAAACAAGGGGAGCCCTCACCCTGTGTTCGTTGTGGATAAACTCTGTAAATGCCAAATAACGCATGTAGCCACTGAAGACAAATGACGTTGCATTCGATTTGGATGCTTCCATATTTATTTGAATGGATAAAATCAGAAAAAAAATTGTTTTCCTCAGAGGTGTTCTTTAATTGTGACAGACTCAACCAAATGGCTTTCAAGTCAAGAATGTGACAATTTGAAATTTCTTGATATTGGAACAGGATGTGGAGTTAGACTTTAAGTGACATGAAACAAGACCACTTTGATGCAAGGAAAGCTTTATTTCAAGGTTCTTGATATCTCGGAGAAAATGTCACTGTTGAATCACTTCAAACCACACAATAAAAATAATAAAATGGCAGAAAGCTCCACTGTGACAGCGTCTCAGACTTTGAAAGATGCACTGTAAACTGTACGTACAACGGGAAGTCTGAATACATCACAGACTATTGCAGACAACAAGAAGTGTCACAGACAATTTCACAGACAATCGCCAACTGTCTCTGATGGCGTGCAGGTCAAGCGGGCCTTTGATGAGAGAGTGATCTGCCTCAGACTTACCATACGCTGGCCTTCCTGCCATGGGGTTTGGTGGGAAGAGACTGAGGCTGTTGTTATCATGCTGTTGAGGGGGAGGCTGCTGGCGCCCTCTGTTGGCCAGAACTGGAAACTCGGCCATGTCCAATGACGGTGAACTCTCGTTTACTTTGAGAAGAAATGCAGCGGAACAGGTCATGGTTTCGACGGTTTGTTGGTTGGCTAATTAATTATGTTACACAATGTCACAAAGCCATCCTGAAAATGATGCATCTGGTGGGGGGGGTGGGGGGCAGAAACATCCCCCATCCCCAGACACATGTTGCCAATTTTTAAAATCGAAAATGCCACATTTAGGGGGGAAGGGAACAAAGAACAAAGTTGGACAAAACTTGTCAGAAAAAAAATCCCACTTTTCTCCCTCTGGACCCAAAACCTGGTGACGCCCCGGCCTCCCCCGATAACAAATGGAAGCATCACGTCAGCAACTGATCAGAAAGACTACGTCAAGGGTAGGGAAGAATATTTGCTGGGGGTTAACAACCGAGGTGGCCTTCTAGCACCACGAGTACTGAACACCTACCTGAATTGAAAGATGCGGCAAGTGACTGGGGCGTGAAGTTGCCAAGTAATGCGTTCTGCGGTCCACCGTAGCTCTGCTGTCTCGTCATGCCAAATGCTCCGATTGCACTTTGCGTTGACCTTTTCGCACCAATCAACACAGAGATATAACCATGACAACGTTTCACCGTGTGCCCGGCAAGAGGTCGCATGCGCGCTTACGCCCTTTTGTCTGGAAGCATCACATCACAGCAGAGAAAATGTTCCCGGCAAAAGGGCGGAAGAATCACACTCTCTTTATTTAGTAAAAACGGATAAAATTTACTACAAAATCAACACGGGCTGTACACCAATCAACCTTTGAACAACTTATTAAACAACTTGGGAATTTTCTTTTTAAACATTTTGCAAACAAATCTGTATATTTCATTAAAATAAAACAGCTGCATGCATACGTCCTTCTGCCGGGACAAATTTTTTTTTTCATTGATCCTGCTTCCCGGCAAAAGGGCACAAACGCTTACGTCCTTCCAGGCACACAACGATTTATGCACCGCAACAAATATCTTGCTGCTCTACGACCAGCAGGCGACCAAGGTTCCACCAGGTGAGTATACAGACTGTTATTCCCCAAATTTATACACCTTGCTGCTTGTTCGGCGCTTAAGACAAGCTCACTTTTAAAAGTCTTAGTCAGTTCCCAAATGGATTGTTGACAGGAGAAATGTCTCCGAAACATCCTTCATTACGGACCTACAAAGTTGTACAGTGTTTTGTGAAATAATTTCTTAGAAACTGTTAAAAATATTGAGCACGCTATTCATTTGGACAAAATTGGGTCATTTGACAAAAGTGAAATATGTCGAAAGGCATTCTTAATGTTTCTTTAAAATGCTTGAAACCGAGTGTTTTTCTTACAAAATATATGAAAGAGGGCTAAATTACGTATTAACTCAACAGCACCACTGTTGGACCTCTCAGATCAATTTTACTTAAAAAAAGGTCAAGAGGCCAGCACTCACCCTCCAAGCATCCTTTGCTGTTGCTGTTTCTGCTGCATAGCCAGAAGGCTGGGCGATGTCCGGCTGTTGGGACTGGGCATGCCCGAGCCTAACGTCCCCACCCTGCTCGGGGCGCTCATGGACGGCTGGTTGGTACTGGTCTGGACCTGGCTGACCCGTGGGCCCACGGGAAGCATTCCCCTGGGAGGTAGGCAATAGAGATTTTAAAAAAAAACGTCACTGAAGCAGGAGCCCAGAAATCTGCGGGTGTTATCTGCATCCTGCGCCAACACAGCTGGACGGATATTCTGCCCCACAGTAAGCAGGCATATAAATCACATTATCGGATTCACCCATTTTCCAACCGCTAACGTCTGTGAAACATGCTCACAGTCTGCACAGCAACTTTTCCTGTGCTCGTTGCAAAAATGTTTGTGAAAATGAACAATAAACAACCCTTCTACGCAGACTTCCCGTAGCTTGTATCCAGCTAGTCTATGCCTAGCATGTACATCTGTTCAGCAGAATTTCTTAAAACAGCTCCGTGAAATTTCAGTGTGAGATTATAGAGGCGGAAATGCTCAATCGTCAAACAAAAATCAATTGCCACTTCATCGTCACAGATTGAAGATCTTTTCTGTTACTGAAGAAAAGGCCAGATGAAAATGGACTGCAAGTGACAGCAGAATGGCCGACTGACGACGTGACCGATACCTGCTGGGAGAGGGCGGGGTGGGGGTGATCTGGCCTCCTATGCTGCCGTGGTGGCCCGACATGCTGCGGCTGGGGAACGGCAGCTGCTGCTGCGGTTGCTGCTGCTGGGGGTTGGGCATGCCCCTGGGCGGGCCCGACGGCTGCTGTTGCTGCTGAAGACCGTAACCTGAGGACATTCCATTCCAGATAAAGGGGGGTGTGATTCAATAGCAAGGGTTTTACTGGCACAGCCAAGAAGCCAAGAGGAAAAAGAAATTCAAGGCTGCACAATTCTTTCACAGCATTTTGAATGAATGATCTTGTCATGAGTAGATCATGAAAGTAAGTCTCATTTTATTTTCCAGGAGCTTACAAATATACACTTACCTTGGTTTCCGTAAATGCCGTACTGTGATAGAGATTGCGACTGCGATGTCAAAAGCTGGAACAGTGAGACACACAAAAAACATTGGAAAATTCTGAACACAACTGAGAAATCCTAGAACGCATACTCAAAGGCCTTATCTTGTCATGTGAACGGTCTAGGCATTTCAACTTTGGAAGTGGGAAAAAATTCTGTGTCAAGTGGGGAAAGAAAACAGACATCAACAGTTAGTATTTGAACGATGAGAAACTGTTTTGATTTTCTGGAAGATTAAAAAACAAAACACCTTGACTTTCCTACAAACGCAATAACAAGAATTAGATGGAGGAAAACCATCACTTTCCAGCTTTTTTTTGTTCAGGTAAGCTCAAATGATCTTTAATTCAGTTGTTTTAATGTGAATGTAATCCTACGACACAGTTTTTTGGACTCCGCTGATTTGAATGATAAAAAAAAATATTCTATTCAAACTGTTGGATCTTGCTAGGTTTTCAAAAGGGTCAGCAGGTTCCGCCCATCAATGGCTGTTAAATATTCACAGATGCAACAGTATCCTTAAAAACACCTGTAACAGAGTTAGGTTCGACATTTCGTGGCACACAAGTAGACTTTTACCAATAATACACTGAGAGTCTGTTAATGGTATATGAAAATTATATTGGAATCGCTGGATTTGGGCTTTTATAATAAATATATACTGACATCTTTTTCCGATCTGTGAGATGGAAACATGGTGGATTGTGGGAAGTAGGCTGAGTTCTCCCCCAAGTCGTTTTCAGCACCATCCTTGTAGAAGTTCATCTTGCTTCTAACCTTGATATTCGAACTTAAAAGACCAAAGTCTGAGGGAGAAACAAAAGGATACCCAAGAAAAGCCTGGATCAAACCACATTTAAAAGTCACTAGGCGTATCGCTAGCCAAACATACAGAGCTTTGGAATTGCCAAATGTAATGAAATTACTCACAAAAGCTTTGTATGTGCAAAACATAATCTCAATTCAATTGCACTAGTTCAACCCATGTAGGCCTAGTCTAGCTCTATTTTCGGGAAAAAAAATGTTGCATCCTGACTCCACTTGAGCAGTTGTGTACAAAGTCTATGGGAAGTGAAGAGAATTTTCGAAGTATTTCCCAACAACATTGGTAAATGTTTCTCAGTCCAAAATTCATGTCTTTCCAGCATTTCTGTAATGACTGACTCTTACTGAGATGATATATGATGAGAAAAGTGGAGTCAGGATGCAACATTTTTTCCCTATTTTCCTTTTACTGAATAACACTAACGGTGAATCGTTTCTTTTCCTTACCACCAAGTGACAAATCTGGCTGGCTTTTTCTAGACTCTTGAGACATTCCAGACCTAAAAACAAGTAGTATAAGGGGAAGTTCACAAGTCAAGTCATGTTGATCATAGGGCCTATACTATAGCCTAAATGCATGCATAACACAATGAACCACATTTACTAAGCGACTGAGGGGCTTGATGAATAAACACATGGACATCATAAATTGTGGCCACGCACCACACACTGGGTTGATGTCCCACTGATATGATGCAATGCACACGACTCATTTTGAATTTTTTCTTTTCTTCCTGCATGTGTGCATGTCCTGGAAAACTAGGACGGGCCAACGCAGCTGGAAAAATTCATTACCACAACATGAATAATAACCTTTATTATTTTACACGGAACTCTTCATTTCATTGCAAGATATTTCATTTTTGTGACTCTCGAGGATTTTTGACAGCAAGCAAGTTCGGTTGGGGCGACTTGTTCAAGGAAAATACGCCCTGGCACATGTGGGGCGACTTTGTAAATTGACAATTCGACTGGTTTGAGCAACATGAACGAACAAAATTCATTGGTTGTTATAAGCCACAAAGAGTTCAGAAACGCTCCGAAATACCCACCCAGCATCCAGAACATAAGGTGCATTACTCATCTGTGCAAATAGGCTGCCCAAGTTGGATACAATTGTTACTCAAACTGGCTCTTTCCTTGCGTTTTTCAGCAATCCACGTACAAAAACAAATAGAAATCAAGATGGCCGTCTAAAGTCTGACCTCAACTGACCTTAAATGGGCTCGATCAAAACTTTAGAAGCAGATCTTTTCAATGAAATGTTTTGATGAAAATGTCGTTTTTGATGAATCAAATAGATATTGAGGGGTTAACTATTGAATTCAATATAAAAAAGTAACAACGCTGTTAGATTTTACTGGCAAAATGGTATGAATATGGAAATTCAAAGAGGATACAGACAGATCAAGGGTACCGACAAGTAATCGACAGGTAGGCCTACACGCGTACACGTGTACTGTCATGTGGGTGCTAAGTTAATTGATTGAGAGGGGGCGGTGGTCTGCTTTGAGCATAGTCAAGAGTTTTCAGCGGTGAATATGGCTTCAGGTAGTTGCCAGACCTTTGAAGATAAGCATTTCTTGAGAATTTGAAAAACAGTTTGTATTTCACCGTCTGCTATTGTGTGTAGGCACTGACTAGCTTTAAAAGTTTTGTGTTATGTTTATGAGGATGCCACTCGACTGGTTGAAAACATTTTGTTAGTTTCTGCCTGCACCCAACTTAGTATGGAGCAAGTCGTTTGTAAAGCGTAAAAAGCAAATGAAAACTTGAGAAGAAAGCAGAACTTGAGAGAGACACCATCTCTCAGACTGGGAATTCACAATTGCAATTTCACTTTATATTTTTGTTGGTTGGCAATAGATTTTTTTTATGTGTAGGCTTACATCCTGAAATTGTTTGTTTGTTTGTTTGTTGGGTTGTTTGTTCGTTTTTTTCATACACTTGTCTAGCATTTTACTTTGTACAGTAGGACATAAAGAGCATTTTTTAATTATTCACTTGTGATGCAAAACATGGTACAGAATTATATATTTCAGTGGAAGGCATATTTATTTAAGTATTTCCGTTTCAGTCCCTTGGAGCAATTCACGTATGCCTTACCGCCATTCACGGCGCTACGCAGGCAAGATCAAGGCCATCATCTTTGACTGGGCCGGCACTGTCGTGGACTGTGGCGTCTTTGCTCCTGCCCTGACGTTTGTAGAGATCTTCAAGAGGGAAGGGGTATCAATTACGGACGAGGAGGCCAGGGGTCCCATGGGCACCCACAAACGGGTGGGTCAGTTGGTGGATCCACGAGGCCCCGCCCTTCCCTGATGCTTTATCAGTCATGTCCTTTATCGCACAGCCGTCTGCCTGGCATTTGCCAAAAATACATATTGCTGCACATGGTATAACCCTGGAGAGGTTTATTTGTTTGAGTGAATTCCTCCGTCCATAGTGGACGGAGCTCAGTGGATAAATCTGTAATCCAGTTGCCAAAAAATTTGGATTATGGAGGATTTTCAATCATATGGTTTTTGATGGTCAGTATTCAATTTCGAAGTTGCTCAACATTCTGGCTGACATGAGATTGCCAATTGAAATACACGGATTCCAAAATGCATGCGCCTCCATGGACATGCCTTTGCCCGTCATGTTACGTCACGTGAAAAACCTCTGGGGATCTAACCAGCCAAGCCATGTCCCCTACCTTGCCCCAGTACAGACACTCCTCCTCCCTGCTGGTCACTGTTCGTCTTCCCACAACGGGTCCCCTTCCTTCAACAGACTGGACACGCCCATTTTCACAGTGTTACTGTTAACCCCTCCTTCCCCGTCAACAAAAAGATGGCGATGAAGCTTTCTGCATCGGTTCCCGTAAATCTAATACTTTTTAATGTGAAGATATGACTTAATGCTATTAAGCAGTCACATATATAGTTCCTCTTTGGCAGCTTTGATTTACGGTTCTTCTTTGACAGGTCCACATCCAGAAGGTTCTAGAGTTGTCCTCAGTCCGCCGTCGGTGGGTGGAGTCACATGGCAAACCGCCCACAGATGAGGACATCGAAAGGATGTACCAGAACTTTGTCCCTCTGCAGTGTGAAGTTCTGAAGGAGCACTCCCAGATGATAGAAGGTGCAAACTCAGTGCTCGGAGTCATACCACAGTTTTGGAAGGAAATGCGAAAACGATGGAAGATTTTGCTGTGGAATTCGTGCATCGCATTCAGAGTTACAGTGGACAAATTTTAAAGAGTAGAGACAGTTTCAGCTGGGTGGTCCAACTTTTGTCTCTCTAGTTGGTTGGAATTACATTGCAAGATTTGTAAACATTGGCCAACTGGTGACAGAGGACATTTGAAGCCTAGGGATTACATATGGAACTTAACCCTGACTTTTTTTTTTTTTTACAGGAGTTGTGGAGACAGTCAGTCATCTTCGGGTTGACCGTGGTCTGAAGATAGGCTCCTGTACGGGTTTTACCTCACCCATCATGGCCAATCTGAAAGAAATTGCAGCAAGCAACGGATTTACCCCAGATTTCATCGCGACAGCTGACCTGGTCCCCCAAGCACGGCCTTGCCCCCACATGGTGTGGCTGAATGCCATCAACATGAACGTGCATCCCATCGAGGCTATCATAAAGGTACAAAGAATTTTTTGTCCTGATTTTTCTGCTTTGAGGATCTTGTTCCTGCCTGTGTGGGACCAGCTCATTGAACATTGCTAACAAAAGGAAATTAAAGGCATGCAACATAAAAACGTGATTGTTGTCTGGTGCAAAGAAAAGGAATGAATTTATCATATCTCAACTTGACAAAATTGGAAATCAAGCAAAAAATATCAGAAAAGTGAGCTGTCCGGGGTCATTTATTCACAGGTGGATGACACAGTGGATGGGATACGAGAAGGGCTGGCCGCAGGATGCTGGACAGTGGGTGTAGCCAAAACGGTAGGTCCATAAAAGGCTTTCAAAAACTGGGGAGGATGGAAACATTTGTTCCAATTTTCATGCATGCAGGTCTGGAGAAAAATAATGCTGTTCTTTGGATCTTGGAATTGAGGTGTCAATAGGCAGACAACTTATCAGTTTGTAAAATTCACAGAGGGCCTGTTTGTTTCACACAGATCTGGATTGTGATCAGTGATCCCAAAGCTGGTTCGTGCTGTCCATTAGGTGGGTTCTAGTGTCAGTGAACTAGAGCAAGATCACTGATCGTGATCCGGATCTGCTTGAAACAAACACCCCAGAAGGGTGTATTGATGTGATCAAAGAGAGAGGTTCTTTAGATATTTACAACACGGCAAACATTTTCACTTCTTTGTACACACTTCGGACTCTGTTTGCTGAGACAATTATGGAGCACTCATCTTGAACCATAAGCTAACAGAGTGATGCCGGGAAAAATCGAAGAGTGCTGCCAGGAGTGTCACGAGAAGAGCGCCCTCTGTTGGTCATGCGCAAACTAGTTAGGTCTTAATTTGTAAAATATCGCCTTCCCCCGGCTCGTAGGGGAACTACATGGCTGCCAGCGAGAAGCAACTGGCCGAGATGGACGGAGCAGAGTACGAGCGCCGCCTGCAGCGCGCCTACGACATCCTTGCGGAGTGCGGCTCGCATTACGTCGTGGACAGCGTGAAGGACCTGCCGCCGGTCATTGACGATATAAATCGCAGGATGACATCAGGCGACAGGCCATAGTTGACAGTAATGCAGAGAAGACCTAGTTCCAAAGGAACCTGTTTCTGGTTTTTTTTTTGTCTTGTCTGCGGCAAAGCGTCAAATTGAAAAATTTATTTCATCCATGCCAGTCCAGTACTAGAAATGTGTTTGATCAAAACCTGATTTCTTTTCCGTAACCAGTTACATATATATTGGATTAAAATTCAGCATAGAAATACTGTGCACTGAAAAAATTTTTGCAAGAATTTTGCCTCCTTGTGAACATAATGCTGCTATTTGTCTTTTGTACAAGTAAGAGTATATTTAATGAGGTTTTCTTAAATTAGTTTTATAAATTGATAATACAGTGGAACGCCGCTGTAACCAACACAACGGTGTCCACGCTAAATGTTTGGTACAGCGGTGGTTCGGTATAGCGAAATTAACTACCGAACGTTTCGTTGCCATGTTGAATGGCACCCTCTCTTGTCTAACTGAAGTGCACCCTCTTGTGATACTATGATTCGCTGTTTTTGTGATGTTTCGCTGTTGCATTCATGTTCAAAGTTTCTAGGAATGTATCTGTTGATTGTTTTTGTTTTTCATTAAATCTTGAGGTACAAAATTGACGATTAGTTTAGCCTGACAGTCATGAAGCTACCGCTCAGGATCGATCTCTGATGCATGCTGTGGCGAATCTTGGTTGATTTGCAACTGCATAATGTTCGGTAGGTTTTGTGCACAAAATAGTGGGAGCCAAGGACAATGTTCGGTACAGCCGAATGTGTGGTATAGTAGTGCTTGGTATAGCGACGTTCCACTGTAGGTATAAAAAAGAAAACTATCCAACCACTCTGCAACGAGTCTACTGTCTTGAGACTGGGATGTAATTAACTGAACATCTGAAGAAAACAATACCCACAGTTCCCATGAAGGAAGTAGTATTTCTTACTCTGAATTTTCTTTCGCCAGTACAAGGAATTTCGACGTTCAAAAATAGAGGAACACAGGAACTTCCGGTTGAACAGGAAAGAGCTCTTCAAGAGCCGAACCTGGCTTGAGTCGCTGATGACGAACACAAACTGTTCCTCTGATTGTAAACCCGGGCGATGATCAGCAGGAGACTTTCTGAAGGAAATTTTTCATTCCTTTTACAACCACAAGGAAGACAATGTGCATTTGGGCATACATGAACTCTGGTTTATTACCAACAGTTAAGAGTGACAATGAAGTGTTCACTTTTTAAATATGTCTTGGGGAAAAATGCAAAAGAATTTGATACTATTCCACGCCACAGAGAAAACGTGGCTAAGGACCAGTCACGTGGGGCTGAAGAAATCAGAGAAAAATCCTTCAAAGTTAAATGGCCAAGAATTGTCTGGGAAGTGAGAATAAGTTATAACATCCGTAATAATGGCTGGAAACCTACCTTTGCTAATTGTTTTTTTTTTATCAGCCAAATTATTCACCGAAAGCAGCTGTGATTATGAGTGCATTATTTCAAATGTGAGTTTGAGTGAACTGACGCCAACTTGAGCAACATTGTTTTGTGGTGTCAAATAAGCAAACTGGAAAGCAACGACCACTGAAACTTCACACACAGTAACTCAAATTAAAAATAAAAAAACATTGAAAAAAGTTATCTTCTTGGGAGGAGCACACTAGCCTAGTTGTACGTCATGTAGCGTGGTGTGGAACTAAACTTGGCGTAGGCCTTGATGACCTTGTTGATGGCTTCCCGGAAGTCCTTCTCCGAGGCCACCTTTCTCCGGGCCCGGATGGCAAACATGCCGGCCTCCGTGCAGACGCTGCGGATTTCAGCGCCTGCAACAGAACACAAGATACGAACAAATCCGTGAAAGATATCGCAATAAAAGTAGAGCCTTTTCAGGATTTTCCTTTCAGAGGACGAAATCTTTTGAGGCACAGTGTTTTTAACGACTTGAACCATACTAATCACTGCTAGGTGTGTCTTTTCTAAATTTCTGTGGAATCAAACTTTACGGTAGTGTTCACTGGAGAAGTTTTGAAGAAATAAAAAAAAACAACACAAATTGTAAGTTTGATATTATTTTGTTTATGGTAAGTGAAACCCCTTTTGAATTCAAAGGAATACGAAGCTCGGGTTGTAAAAGGCTTGCGGTAGCATATTGTGCTCAATCTTTTTCCTGTTGCGCATGATTCTGGGAAGTGGCATGCAAACCAAATCAACTGAAGTAATGAAATAATCAATGCCTCTGTGTAAAATTACTTGTTGAAGCCAAAGGTACATTTCGGATGCTATTCTGTGACCAAATTTATCCAATTCTGAGTCGCCGGTGTGAGTGAACTGACTCTAGAGCAGATTGATCAATGCCATGAAGCCACATCCCCTACCTGTGCAGTTGGGGCAGAGTCTTGCTAGCAGCTCGTAGCGGATGTCTCTCTCCACGCTCATGGAGCGGGCGTGGATCTTGAAAATGTGGGTCCGCCCCTGGAAAAGAGAGATAATTTCAAGTGTTTGGAAGTCTGGCCATGAAAATGATCAAATAATGGCTAAAACGACACAATGACGCAATAGTAATCAAAATTTCACAAAAATTAAAGTTTTTTTAATTAGGAACAGGAAAAGCAACTCAAATCTTAGTTTTGGTGACCTTTTCAACAGCTTTTTGATATTTCTTGAAGATAGGAGGCTGAGCCCGTACAAGTTATTTCTCTCTGTGTCTTGGATTTTTGCCATCAAGTGTCAGCTAATGAGAATACAAAATGTAAAAAAATCACCTCCAAGTCTGGAAGCCCGAACTCCACCTTGCGGTCCAGCCGGCCCGGCCGGACCAGGGCCGGGTCTAGGGTGTCGGGCCGGTTGGTGGCCATCAGCACCTTGATGTTGCCCCGGGGGTCAAAGCCGTCCAGCTGGTTGATCAGCTCCAGCATGGTGCGCTGGACCTCGTTGTCACCCCCGGCCCCGTCGTCGAACCGGGCACCTGAGAGAGGAGGGGGGGGAGAGACGAAAATAACCAGAAGGATGGGGAGAAGTATCTCAGAACCCCCTCCGACACCGACCGCTGGACCGATGACAGAGGGCCAAGTCTTAGGGCAATTACTGAACGGAGTAAAGGGTGGTCTTAATTGCCCAACCCCGATCTTAAAAAAAAAGCCACTAAATTGAAGGATTAGGGTTTAATAGATAATTCAATGGAAATGACTGGGAATTGAACGTGAGGGGTACGGGCAGGCTTAGGGCCAGGGATAGGGAAGGTAACCCCTTAACGCCGGGATTCTTTTGACCGCGACTGCTGGGCTGCGGTATGCCTAGTATGCAAAGCCTTGTCCAGCAGCAGGCCTACATGGAAACCGCAGGTGCATGATGAATGGAATGTATGTGTGGTATGCACTAATCTTCACACAAAGCTGCGGCTGTTGCCGTCTACCAGCGTTAACCCCTTCGCTACGGAGGACTGCTACTACCGCGCCGTTGTGTGAGGATTAGTGCACACCGCACATACAGTCTATTCACCATGCAGCTGCTGGTTCAATGGGGCCTGCTGATGGACAGAGCCCTCCATTCAGGGCATACCACAGCCCAGCAGTCGCGGTCAAAATAATCCCGCCGTGAAGGGGTTAACGAAGTGGGTTAAAGGTACAGGCTAAATTTGCTTACAGGATTTACTGAACAGGATCAGCTCCATTAGCATCACTCAATACGACCCTTATGAAATCACCAATTCTGCTCGTCCCACTACTGGCATAAGCAGACCGGTAAACAAAAAACCACGGTCACGCATCTTGCTCGAGAACAACAAGTCGCTTGGGGTAATACTGTCTTACCTCCGATGGCGTCAATCTCGTCGAAGAAGATGAGGCAGGCCTTTTTGGTGCGGGCCATCTCGAAGAGCTCACGCACCATCCTGGCTCCCTGTAATAGATGACATCATAGGCGTCATCAAATGTTGGGCAAGTGATATGTAACTGTACAAATTATGGGCAGTCGATATAATTGCGACTAAAGGGTTAATGTGAGCTTGGGGATACCTTCATATTTACTTGTACGCCAGGTACCAATGCCTGATCTTAAAGCAATGCATAAATGGCATGTAAAAGAATGGTATACATAACTGATCACTGTCTCACAACAACTTTTTCGTTCAATACCGTGTGGGTTCACCTTTCTGATTGTCAACTAAGTAAAACAGCACAGTTGGCTTCCTTCCATAAACGGGTAAGCACTAAACCATCCCAAAATGTCGTCAGATTTACAAAGATTATAGCTGAATGCGGCCGCTTCACAATAGTGCGCCACCAAGAGTTTGCAACGCGTTGGCCAATCACAAGGCGCGAAATTTGTCGACCCAATGTGCGTTTGGAAGTTTGGAACGGGTTGACAAATTCTGCGCATTGTGATTGGCCAACGTGTTGCAAACTCTTGGTGCCGCACTATTGTGAATCGCCTTTACTGCTGAGTTTGGTTAGAACCATTAAATTAATAACACGGTACAGGTAGCTTGGGAGCAACTTCACTCCGAGGGCATTGAAGGCCGGTTAAGGATGAAGTGGTCGCTGCTGTGAATCAGACGGCTCACCTCCCCGACGTATTTCTGGACAAGCTCCGATCCAATGACCCTGATGAAGCAGGCGTCCGTCCGGTTGGCCACCGCCCTGGCGCACAGGGTCTTGCCGGTGCCTGGAGGGCCATAGAGCAGGACACCCTTGGGGGGCTCAATGCCCAGGTTCACAAACTTCTCCGGCTGAAGAAAGGAAAGAAAATTCAAACCGGAGGCTGAGATTGAGAAATGGAGAGAAATCTGCAAAAATATGCAGCCGAGGGGTTATACCAGCAATCAGATAAATACATGTACATGAACAGTAACTGTTCTTGGCCTTTATTAGCTGATAAGGCATGAAACCTTTCTCAAATGGCTGCGATTTCATCCATCGTACACCCGTCAGCAAGGGTTTTGTGATTTAACCTCTAGAAACCCAAGGAAAAAACCTAAAACACATAGGAGATCTGATACCTTCCTTGCATTCAAAGTCACTGATTTCCGTTATCGTGATTAGAAAATGTACCTGGGTCCTGCTGATTTGATTGGTTTTTCTAAAAACAGCTTCACAACATTGCAAACCTTCAGGGAGTTTCGTTTCTCCTTCACCGTGCTTCTGTCACCAGCCTTTTTCATTAGGAAGGCCTACGGCTTCACGAGGCTATTTTGAGGGGCTGTTCTGTCTTTCAGTATAAACTAAATTCAACGTCTAACACAATGAAATGACCACAGGCAAGTCTTACATGTAGGAGAGGTGTCTCCACAACCTCCCTCAGCTTCTCAATCTGCTCTTTACAGCCTCCGATGTCGGAATACGTCACGTCCGGCTTTTCCTCGACCTACGTCGCATTGGACACACACGCACACAAACAAAAGTGACAGGTGTATTTCACCGAACTCAGTTGAAAATTCAGAAGAAAATTCCGATTGTAGGATACTATTAAAGCACAAATTGATGGCTACTCAATGCTTGTTTACCAGAGAGAAAGTCGAGATTCCTGCTGTTTTGGATCCTCAAGCTGACGGAACTTACAAACCACAATGGCTCCAGTTCTTACAAATTCCTACCTTGAGTTTCAGATATTGTGGGGGGGAGAAAGCAATGGATAATTTTTGCCCCAACTTCTGAAAACTATCAATTTTTATGACTGTATCCCCACTTCACACTCTGCTGCTGTCGGAAACATACGCATAATGACCTCCATTTTTTCCGAGCATTTAGCCACTGGGTTAATAAACTAAGATGAACTTAAACCCACAAATCAATGCCTGTGAGGACAGAAAGCAATTGACGAAGACAAGGACCCACACAGCCTGAGAGATTAAACAATGCCTGAGTTCTTTACCTGCATCATTGTCACCGTCGGGTCGATCTTCGGAGGTAGAGGGATGTGAATCTGATATTTATTTCTGTCAACCCTGATGATCAAAATGGGAGAGAAGCAATTAGTCTCTTGAACCTTTAAGGATGTGAGTGCGCATACAAAGGTTTTCTGGAGCCAACGTACCCAACTCTCATGCCCTCCTCAATATCGGTGGGTGCCACGTTGTCATGGAGATCCACCACAAACTTGGCAAACTGTTTGACGTTGATGATGTACTTGGCGTCTTCGCTGTCGGCGTTGATGATTTTGGTGCACCGCGCCACCTGTTGAGATGACAGATGCATCACTCCTAACACTTCAAATTCGAGAGTGATCGGGGATAGATCTACGGCCATTTCCGAATTCCGTCTGACCTCGGTACTGATGACGTCACACTTTGTTAAGGCTTGTGCTTCCTATGGTGCAATTAAGCGGACCACAGACTCCCACTGGCTCCAAAGGGGGTGCATGCATAAACAACTGTGACGTCACTGGTCTGTAGGCCCATTACCAGCAATCATACTTGATACACATCCCTATGGAAACCAGCAGCTTGCAGTTGAATCTGTGACTGTCGGGGGAGTCAGATTGGCACACCAGTACTTTTCCCACCTTCTACATGTACATCTGTGACCCTGCTTCGAATCCCACCCGGGCCCACTGGACTCGGCGGATATTACCCGCAATAGGGATCTAGGGTTTTCCTCCCCACTTTATTAAAAACGGGACAATTCCTCAATCTCTTCTCTCTGTGGGTTCCCTAAGGCTTTTAAGCTTTGCGTAGGGCTTGCGTGGGTGCACTTGGAGGAATCCTTGGTTTCACCGATTTCCGGGGTTGTTGCTCGGTCCCAAATCTCTCTAGGTGATCCACCAAGTTCATTCCCTTACCTGCAGCGGCTGTTCACTCTGCAGGGTCTGCTTGTCTGCCTGGAGGTCCCACAGCGCTGGATTGGCTAGACCCGTGTCCGATTCTTTGATACCTGAGTTGACAGAAACATACAATACTGGCTAACGACTCAACAGAATGAAAACTGTGCAACACATTAAGGGGTGATACGAAAAGCGGATGGAAAATCATTTGAGAGTGTGTCTTGTCTCCACAGAGGTCTGTCAGTTCCATATGCATTTCCAGGTTGTGAGGACAAAAATTACAAGCCTTTAACGGCAAAATGAAAAACCTGTGACCTCTGTCTTTCATCTCCTGACCCCATTTTCACCACAAAATTCAACAAGACTTAAATGATTCAAATCTGATATTGCGGTAAACTCTATAAGAAAAGTTATGCTAACGAACTAAAGTTACTGCACAAACTTAAGGATGCCGTCAAAAACTTCACTCTGGTTGAAAACGCGGCAGATCAGCATTTGAAATATGTTAATAAAGACATGAAAGATCAAGATTTTCCTTTCAGGTATCGTACATGTCCATGAGATTTGAAAGAAACCGGGGAAAGCAACTCCAAAAAGATTTCCTTCATTTGTCCAAACTCTGAAATGAAGAAGGCATAGGCACGGTACCTGTGAGTTCATTGACTTTCTTCATCGCATTCTGGATGTCCTCCTCGACCGTTTTGATGAGGGACGTGTATGGTCCTGCCCCCTGTTGGGAACAAAATGGGGCAATCGACTCTACACCCTCCAGGTCAGCTTTGAGATTCAGCAGATTTGGCATGATTACGGAGAGTACAGTGAAGAAGCTGTATTACTTGGCATGGGGCTGGATGGCCCTCGTTTGGGCCATTCAGAAAGGTTCCAAGCAAGTGTGCCCTTGGGGTGATCAATAATTCCCTGATGTCTAAGGAATCGTCGCAGCAGCTAGTAAACATGGAACCACTGAAGATTTGTTCGGGTAAAATTTATAAGTCGCCAAAACGAGCACTGGGCATGTTCAGTTGCCATGCTGGCGCAAAAGCAAAACTATGAATAATAATAACACATACTTGTAAAGTGCCATCTATCAAGAAAACTATTCCGAGGCGCTAATTGTCATTATCCTTGGACACTGGGCTCACATCATCTGAACATTTCTGAAACCATTTGAGCTCCCTGGGGAGGATACCAGCCCGGTGCTGCCATTTTAGCGCAAACGGCTAAACAACCGTGCCTGCCCTCACAGGTACCCATTTACTCCTGGGTGCAGAGAGGCACACGGGGGTAAAGTGACTTGCCCAGGATCACAACATGCTGCCACCAGCTGGATTCGAACCCCTGACCCTATGATCAGAAGCTACAAACCCTAACCACTAGGCCACATACCCCCCTCCCAAATATCAGAAACGGGTCCATAGTCCAATATCTGCTTTCTTAGTGCTGGATTGTCAGAGATTGGATCAGCACAGATGCCTTCGAGCCTCAAGTGCCACTTACATATGTCTTCAGAAGTGCAATATCTCCTTCGTCCAACGCTGTGGCATGGGAGAATAAAAAAGAAATTTTGAGTGTGATTAACAGACACTGAAACAAGCATGACGAGGCCAAAAGTAAAGAAAGTACATGTAATCATGAATTGACACTAAATAAGTTCCATATGCAGACATCACCTTTTTCCCTGCAGCTGTTCATTAGCCATAAGAAAGCACTAATTTAAAAACATTTAGAATTTTGCAGATTAACCCCTTGACGACGGGAACTTTTTCTGAAAGCCGACTCCCAGAATTCCAGCCCCACTTGGCTATGAAGGCCACCTGCCAAACCCCAAATTCTCGGTTTGTGGCCCTGCGTGCTCTGCACACTTTGAATTACACAGTGAAAAGGTATTGTTCGGTGGCATGCGGCTCTACTCACACTTCCATATTCCTGTTGCCTGTTTTCAAAGTGGTGACTATTGTGGAGTTGGTGATTATGATGCACATTCAGTCTTTTCATTTTTGGGCTACACACAAAGGCCAATCACCATATACACAACAGCCAGGGTTTGCCTTCTTTCACCGTGTTCACTCGAGCGTGGGCCGAGAGTAATAGCTGAAAAGCGGGCTGAGGATCTCAATTTTTACGGCGGCTTTTACCGTCATCCGTCGCGAAGGGGTTAAGGAAAGAGTTCCATACAGAGCTCGTATNTTTTTTCCGTTTGTTTTCCTAACCTCATCCAAATGAAAGCTGAGCTACGATTGGTCACTGGAATGGAAGCAAATTGGACTGATCACAGTGCGGGTCTCATTTGTGGGTGACAGGAAAACAAAAGGAAAAGACAGGAGCTGTGCTGTGATTGGTCAAGCTATCACACAGCTGAAAGTTACTGAGAGTACATGCTGCTGAATTTCTGTTGTTTGGATGGGTAAAATGCTCATGACTTTCACCATTTTAATGAGGATATAAGGTGAATAAACATCCCCATCTAACTTCACCAAAAAGGCATGTGTGAAATTGGGTTGCACAAATAGCTGTGATGAAAGAGTAAATTGGCACAATCAAAACCGCCAAAATGTGTTTATGGGAGTTGGTACATGGCTATCTGCTAGGTTTGTATGAACCTTACACTTCTGGAAGTACCCCAGTATTATGAGACTGGTGTGAGAAAATTGAAGTATTTCCTCTATAAATGTTTCATACGGTACCCCCAGAACTCAGAAATTCTTGTTCTGCCATGTGAGTGTGGCGGACGACAGACCCTAGAGTTCTAGGGGTCCCGGTAGGCTACATGTAAATGCTTTGATATCCACTTTCGGACGGCTAATAAACCCTGTAAGAGAAAATAATTGATATGGAATTCCTACCCTGAGACAAGTCTCATGGATTTGGGCAAGGACTAGAGTGTCAACACAAGGCAAGGTCTAGTGCCAATGTGAACATGGGGATTGAGAATTTGAGGTCCCCACAAGTTTTCTCATTTTAGTCGGTGCAAAACTGGTCATTCCCCCGAAAAACCAAAGGCAATGCTGTCTGAACTGCCCCGTAAATTGTAAATGTGACTTTCTTACGGATAAACCAGCCATGGAAATTTGACTCCACTATATGTCATGTGTTAAAACACCCCCAGTTTCCCCTCATACTTTCCCTCAAAACTCAAAATCCTGCCCTCTTTTCGCAACATCAACCCTACCTGCCAACAGTTATTGAGCATGATGTCATGATCATCTACCTAGAGGAATCCAAAAGTTAAAATGTTGGTCTCCCTCTTCTTATTGGAACGGGATCCCCAAATTAACAATCCCTGTGAGCTGGTGAGCATGATGAGCGATGATGTTTGTGATTTCTGTAGTAGTGGAACTGATAATAGAGGGATTTCACATTAGCGCCGTCTGCGCATATCTGCATCAAAACCGAGGCTCTCTGTGTTGAACTTCATCGCGGGCGCCCGCAGAGTCGACACAGTACATGCAGCATCCAGTTCGTAAATGTGACGCCACTTCAGTTTAAACCACGCCCACTGCACAAGATACACGACCATCGCAGGTACGTTAGTTTGCGGTAAATTGCCATTATTTTTTCTTTTGATTTTACATTTCAAGTCATCCTGAAAGACTCTTCCACAAAAATTTGCAGCCTGAAAAGTCTGAATTTAACATACCTTTATGTATTTTGAGTCTTGACTCCTTACTTTCAATTGTCTGATTGTATTAAGAATTGAAGCTGACACATACAGCCTCGTTTTCAAACATGGAAGTGTGCAGATCGACGCTAAAAACGTCGAATTGGGATCCCTCTATTACTATAGTATTAGGCCTTGGACATAATGAACTTTCGTTCAAGAATCAACTTCCACATTGATTGGTTACCTAGCTTCTAAATCCTACAGCATTTGACCATACCCTCTCCTTTAATATAAATTATAAATCATGCCATGAGAAGTTCAGAACTTCATGTTGCCATTTTTGTTACGTTACTCAGCAAAATTGACTTGCTTTCAATGCTTGATGCATGATGATTGAGAAAACAAACAAATGAATCCTATAAACATGGCAAAAATACCTTGAATTGGCTTATCTTCCTTTTCCTCTTCATTCTTCACCTTTCGCATGTCATTTCCTAAATGGTCCGGCATGGTGACGTTTAAATTAAGAACTGGAAAANCTTTTTCCATTTGTTTTCCTGACCTCATCCAAATGAAAGCTGAGCTATGATTGGTCACTGGAATGGAAGCAAATTAGACTGATCACAGTGCGGGTCTCATTTGTGGGTGACAGGAAAACAAAAGGAAAAGATAGGAGCTGTGCTGCGATTGGTCAAGCTATCAAACAGCTGAAAGTTACTGAGAGTACATGCTGCTGAATTTCTGTAGTTTGGATGGGTAAAATGCTCATGACTTTCACCATTTTAATGAGGATATAAGGTGAATAAACCTCCCCATCTGACATCTAACTTCACCAAAAAGGCATGTGTGAAATTGGGTTGCACAAATAGCTGTGATGAAAGAGTAAATTGGCACAATCAAAACCGCCAAAATGTGTTTATGGGAGTTGGTACATGGCTATCTGCTAGGTTTGTATGAACCTTACACTTCTGGAAGTACCCCAGTATTATGAGACTGGTGAGAGAAAATTGAAGTATTTTCTCTATAAATGTTTCATACGGTACCCCCAGAACTCAGAAATTCTTGTTCTGCCATGTGAGTGTGGCGGACGACAGACCCTAGAGTTCTAGGGGTCCCGGTAGGCTACATGTAAATGCTTTGATATCCACTTTCGGACGGCTAATAAACCCTGTAAGAGAAAATAATTGATATGGAATTCCTAACCTGAGACGAGTCTCATGGATTTGGGCAAGGACCAGAGTGTCAACACAAGGCAAGGTCTAGTGCCAATGTGAACACGGGGATTGAGAATTTGAGGTCCCCCCAAGTTTTCTCATTTTAGTCGGTGCAAAACTGGTCATTCCCCCGAAAAACCAAAGGCAATGCTGTCTGAACTGCCCTGACCCTGTTTGGGGGAAATTTCAAATTGTAAATTGTGAATGTGACTTTCTTACTGATAAACCAGCCATGGAAATTTGACTCCACTATATGTCATGTGTTAAAACACCCCCAGTTTCCCGTCATACTTTCCCTCAAAACTCAAAATCCTGCCCTCTTTTTGCAACATCAACCCTACCTGCCTACAGTTATTGAGCATGATGTCATGATCATCTACCTAGCGGAATCCAAAAATTAAAATGTGCGTCTCCCTCCTCTTATTGGAACGGGATCCCCAAATTAACAATCCCCGTGAGCTGGTGAGCATGATGAGCGATGATGTTTGTCATTTCTGTAGTATTGGAACTGAGGGATTTCACATTAGTGCCGTCTGCGCATATCTGCATCGAAACCAAGGCTCTCTGTGTTGAACTTCGTCGCGCGCCCACGGAGTCCATACAGTACATGCAGTATCTAGTTCGTAAATGTGATACCACTTCAGTTTAAACCACGCCCACTGCACAAGATACACGGCCATCGCAGGTATGTTAGTTCGCGG